TAAGAATTTAATATATTTCTACCATAAGTATATTTTACTGAGTAGTCATTAAGTATAAATATTTTACATTGATGATATATGCTGGTAATGTGAATATTTTACATTGATGATAAGAAAATATATGTGAATATTTTCTTAATCATCAACTAAGAAAATATATGCTGGTATAAATATTTTCTTAATCATATTTTCTTAAAATGCTATTCTTAATCATTAAGCATAAATATCATATATCATCTAATATATTTTACTGAGTAGACTAAATATAACTCATAAATATAACTAAGCATAAATTTAATATATTTAATGACTCATATATCATCTAGACTCATCATCATTTTTTGAAGCCAAGCTTCTCATTAGCTGGGTTCAGTTCGGTCATGTAAGTCTAGAAAATATTATACAAAAAAAACAGAGGGTATATATATTCAAAACCAGCACAATCTACACCACATAAAATTGATATATTTATGTGACTCAACTGAACCCAAATAACATATTCGACACCAGCACAATCTACACTCTCAAATTGAGTCATATTTATAAAATTGATGTTATTAAGCAGTTGAGTCACATAAATATATATTTCAAAACCAGCACAATCTACACCACATGGAAATAAGAAGAAATCATCAAAATCACCAAAACATTTATAGTAGTATTTACAGTAATAAGAAGAAAATTTGGAGTAGTCATTTTGTTTCACATTACCGAGCAGCCGAGTTCTCTGTTTCAAGATCCTGTTTCACATGAAGCTCTGATGAAGGCAAAAGCTGAGGAAAAAAAAAATTCAAGAAGAAGAACAAAAATGAGAGAATAAAAATGAGAGAATACTAAATAAAGTCATGTTTTCAACACTAAATAATAAGAATACTCTATTGAACCCATAACTGTGCATATATGAAGGAACCCAGCATATATGAATTCAATTCGGACCCAGCATATAAGAGAGGAAAGGAAAGGAACCCGAAACATAACTGTGCAGTTAAGAACCCAGCATATATGAATTCAATAACTTTTGAATTTGAATTCAACCCAGCAGTTAAGAGTGCAGTCTGTGAGTTAAAATGTTGACATGTGCTTCTCTCCAACCTTCTCAAATCAATTTCGCATCTGCTTCTCTCAATACACACCTCACTATCTGCTTCTCAACTCTGCAGCAGTATTTGTCTGTCCAAAATGGTATAGCCAAGCCAAGCTTCACATCTCATTAGAGAGTAGGAATGGGAAGGTAGATAGAGGGTATGGGAAGAAGACAGAGGGTATGGGGGAGGCAGAGGGTATGGGGGAGACACAGAAATGTGTTGGGTGGGAAACCTTTGATACATTTTGATATAAACCATTGATCTAAACCATTGATATATACTTGGGATTAATCTCAGCCATTGGATCAAAATGTATCTTACATACATTTTGATACATTTTTCAAAAACCTTTGTGACTTATTATATAGATTTTTTCCTACAAATTAATTTTTACAATTTTTTAATACACATTTTTTCGCAAAAAGTCAAAAAGTTAACCCAAACATTCATATTTTTTTTCTCAATTTTTTAGTCTAAAAAGACAAAAAGTGCACTTATTTAGGACACCCCAAACAATCCCTAAATAATCTTGAAATGCCATTGTTCTATGGAGTCTTTTGAAAAGCTGGTAAAAAGTCAGTTTATAATTTTTTATTCATTTTGGATTACATCACTTCTCACATAACTTACTCACAAAATGATAAAATAAACTAAAAAAAATCAAAAAAATTAATTTTTTTTATCAATTTTCCAAAACACTCCTTTATATACCTTTTATTGTCAACCAAAATGAAATACAAAAGTTAGAATAAATAGAATTGATCTATGCTCACGCCCAATTGATCAAGATCAATCAAGCCAACACCACCTATTAAATCAGAGCACCATGCAACCTAAACTTTTCATGATCCACTCAATTGATGTGAGAAGCTTGATTTTATTTTTATTTTTTTATACTCGCCGGTCATATCATTGTTTTATTATTATTATTATTATTATTATTATTATTATTATTATTATTATTAATTGTGAAAGATAATCACTACTTCCAAAATAGTTGATACTCAACTAGGAATTAACTGCTACATAGTAGAATTCGTCCCCATTCATTTAAAACATCACAAAAACTGCATATAATCGAAACCGCTCAAAGACTTCTGTCTAATAACCTATCCAAGAAAATATAATTATCTATTGAGACTAATGCTCAAAGAGGTACAATTTTTTTTTCTTCAAAATGTCCTTAACTGAATCCATAGAAAATTAATGTTGAAAAATATGGTACTTGAATGATTTGATATTTTGGAGAGAGAGTTTAGAATTTTTTTTAGTTTGTTTGGTAGTATATTTTAAAAATAATTTTGGAGTTTGAGAGTTTGGAATGATTTAATATTTTATTATAGTTGAAAAATGTGTGCGAGAGAAAAAGTGATTGAGAAGAAAAGATGAGAGAGAAAAAAGTGATTGATGTGTAGGAAAGAAAAAATGATTATGATTTTTTTTTAAAAAAAAATTATATTTTGAAATACAAACCAAATAAGCCCATAACCTTTCCCCTAATTTATTGATTGGATATGAGATTCGGTCATTGATCAACTTCAATTTTGAAATACAAATTTCTTCCTAGGCAATTATAACTGTCATGATCAATAGAAAATGTTTGAGGGTCACAATTTTTGTGATTATAATGGCTCAAAACTGTCAAAACGACGTCGTTTTGACAGTTTTGAGCCATTGTAGCCACAAAAATTGTGGCCCTCTAGCATTGTTGATATATATATATATATGCATGACAGCTACAAACATTGAGATTTTGGGTGTGTTTAGTTTGTATTTATAGAGTAATTTTTGAGATAAAAAGTACAAAAATTTGTTTGATTTGTCTTTTTTTAAAAATGATTTTGGAAAATTATTTTAGAGAGAGTTTTTAAAAAAAAAATGATTGATTTGATATGTATGAGAGAGAGTGTGATTTTGAAAAGTAGGTAACCAAACAAAATTTTAGGACTTGTTTGGTTTGTATTTGAGAAACATGTTTTGAGATAAAAAGTACGAAAATTTATTTGGTTTGATTTTTTTTCAAAAGATGTTTTGAAAAATTATTTTGAGAGAGAGTTTTGGAAAAAATGATTGATTTGATGTGTATGAGAGAGAGATTTGTTTAGAAAACTTGTAAACCAAACAAGTTTTGGAAAAAAAAATTTGGAAAATTTTGTTTGGTTTGATTACTTTTAAAAACTTATTTGTAGAGAATTTTTCTCAAAATTTTTTGAGAAACACAAACCAAACAAGGCCTTAAATTTTTTTTTTGAAAAAAATTTGTTTAGTTTGATTACTCTTGAAAATTTATTTGTTGAGAATTTTTTAAAAAACAAACCAAACATATGGTTTAAAAATTATAAATAAATAAAAATAAGTTAGTTTAGAGATTTTATGACCGGTTCCGTGTTTTTAAAAATAGGTGTGTAACTATATTTTTAGAGCTTAAATCAAACATAGCGTTCAAATCAGGATTGAAATTACATTTCTAGAGTTTCACCAAATACAACCTTAGGTTTTTTTTTTCTTACTATTTTTTTAAAGAAAAGAAATAAGAAGGGTAAATTATAAATACACCTCTTGAGATTTGCTTAAAATATGAATTGCTTCTTGTGGTTTGAAAAATTACAAATACCTTCCTGTCAGAATTTTTTATTTAATTTCTAACTGTTCACCTATACAATAATAAAATTATCTGAATTATTAATTGAAATAAAATTTTAACATTATTAAAAATGTTAATTAACTTGATGATTTATTAATAAAATGACATATTTGTTATGAAATTAGAAACATTTGGGGACATAATGTAATTTCTAAAATTACAAGAAATAATTTATAATTTAAGTAAATTTCAGGATGTGTTTGTAATTTACCCAAATAAAAAACTACTATAGAGGCAGGGAGGAATTGTACCGTTTAAAGGTTATAGTAGGTAGGGACATAGAAATATATGTGCCATTTTCCAAGACAATGCTAATGAGGTTCCACAAAATTTAAGTTCAATGTTTTGAAATACAGAAGAGAAGGACTTGTACAGAAGTTTCTTTCTGGCATATATTGTTATCTGTATAAGCAGCCGCATTGTATTTCTTATCTTCTTTTAGTACAGTCAAACTATGTTACACGGACTCTTTAAAATAGATCAAATACCCGTGTCGGATACCCGACACTCGGATAAGGATATGGGATATGTGTCGGATACTTTTCAACGGATACTTCTTATATAATTGTATATAACACAATTATTATATGTGCATATTATTGTATAATTGCTATAAATGTCATTTTGACACTGTAAGATATAATACTATTTTATCTCACATATTAGATTAAAAATATAAAAATATGATATTTTTTTTCCGAGTCCGCGTACTCTTAAATTTAAGATTTAATGAGTCTGACCTGTAGATACATACCCGCACCAGTCACCTGTACCCGAGTCCATGTAACATAGTAGTCAAACTGGTGTGAGCAATGATATAGACAAGACTGCAGAACCACGTAAATTTGATTGTCAAGTTTTTCTTGTTTATGAATGATTCTTCTTGCTATTGATAGCTATTGTGTGAGTGGTTTACTCCATAACATGTATTGGCTTCCCGTGTGAAAGATCTTCCAGAGGGGTTAAATCCACATGTATTCCCGGGTCCTAGTTTTTTTGGAAATCTTGTCTATTTTGCTATGGTAGTTTGTCTTTTAGGCCCTAGTGAGTATTTTATATTGTCTGGGATGGCAACGGGTTGGGTTTTTTCGGGTTTTGTGTGCCGTTTCTTAATTGTAGACTCAATTAGTTTAGTGATACAATTTCATACTTCACTTTTAGCCCTGACAGTTTTGACCTATCTCTATCAAAGCTCTCTCAACCTTTTCTATCAGAATCGGGTAAGATCAAATACAATTAGAAATAATTTTTGGAATTCATTAAAATATCAGTAAAATCTTGCAGAATATTACATCTCTCTTGTTTGAAAATGAATATTGAAATTCAGACAGGGAGTCAATAACTTACAGGTACATAATTAACAGACTATAAACAATCAACAGCCATATAGTAAAGAGAAAGTCTGGAAAGCAGCTATAAAACTCACTAACTTACAGAATTAGAGAGGTTACTTAGTCCTTCCTTCGGTGCTGATACGCCAAAACGAAGGTATTGGTTCATCAATCTCTTATCAGATATTTGATTTGAACAAGATGGCCCTGCAATATCACTCCGAACGTAGTCACATTTTTGTTTATCCGAGCATTCGAGTGAGGATATTGATGATTTAGGGAATGAGCTAGAAAACAAAAGACATGGAATAGCAAGATCTGGCATAACACCCTGCACTAATATTCCTGAAGCAAATTTCTTCTTTGCGTTTGGACTAGGAAGGTTGCTTCTTAAAGAAACCGTTCGCTTGTTGTTAGGAAGGGATGCGAATTTTTGTCGGAGTGGGATTGGATTTTCATCTGAATTTCCATCTACCATTTTCTTGGGCATCTTGTTCTTTCTTTCTTTCATCCTGGGCCAATGGAGCAGGCGTTTCAAACGTTCTGCTGCGTAATTTATAGAAGCTAGTTTTTTGTAATTTGAATTTGATTCATTACAGTCTTCTATGGTTAAGTCACTGGTGTCTGATGCATTCTCAATCCCTGTGTACAAGAATATTTTTGAATCGAAGATTCTGAAAGAAGTTCCAGGACTCCCCATACTTCTCATCCTTAAGTGGGAAGCAATGGTTCTACTTGCTGTATAGTCCTGACCATAGGAGATTCCTCCAGCTGAAATTAATTGTCGAGTTAGTATGTCAGATGATGCAGAACGTGGATGCTTCCAGAGGAGATCAAGTGGGGTCATGCCATTTGAATCGCAATCGTTCACATCAATTGAACGGACACTCATTATTTGCTCGATTAAATCAGAATGAATGTTCCCAATGATGGCCAAATGAAGAGCAGTTCTACCATCGTTGTTTTTGGCATTTATGATGTCTTCGGTGTCGAACAATTTTCCACATACTAACTGCTTCATGAGTTCAATTTGTCGATCCAATCTTCTGAAACTAGGAGTTTGAAAACTATAGCGATCCCGGGTTTACCCTTGTTGTACAGTGATCCGGACATGTGTCCGTGAATGTTAGTAGTTGTTTATTTTCTAGTTTGCATCCTCTTTACTTTGTATATTGAGTTATAAGATGCGTTGGGCAGGTTTGTTACAGGTTGGTTGCGTTTGGGAGCCTAGTGTTGCTGCCCAGATTTTTGTCTCGAGTGTTAGAGGCATAGTTTGTCGCTCGAGCGAGAGGA